CAATATGAGTTGAATTTTGTTTCATGATACTTATAAACATACACTCATTCATTTACAACCTCCAAAACATGGAAAAACACATATTTTGAGTAAAAGTAAATATTCTCGCCCATGGGCCAACCTAATTTTCGCCCATGGGCGAGATTTTTTAATATCGCTCTAAGTTAGTCGAATTAAGCCAATGTGAGTTGAATTTTGTTTCATGATACTTATAAACATACATTCATTCATTCATTTACAACTTCCAAAACATGGAAAATCATGTATTTTGAGTAAAAGTCAATATTCTCGCCCATGGGCCAAACTGTTTTTCGACCATGGGCGAGATTTTTTAATATCGCTCTAAATTAGTCGAATTAAGTCAAAATGAGTTGAAATTTGTGTCATGATGCTTACAAACATACACTCATTCATTTGCAACTTCCAAAACATGGAAAAACATATATTTTGAGTAAAAGTCAATATTCTCGCCCATGGGCCAAAATGTTTTTCGCCCATGGGCGAGATTTTTTAATATCGCTCTAAATTAGTCGAATTAAGTCAAAATGAGTTGAAATTTGTGTCATGATGCTTACAAACATACACTCATTCATTTACAACCTCAAAACATGGAAAAACACATATTTTGAGTAAAAGTAAATATTCTCGCCCATGGGCCAACCTATTTTTCGACCATGGGCGAGATTTTTTAATATCGTTCTAAGTTAGTCGAATTAAGTCAATATGAGTTGAATTTTGTTTCATGGTACTTATAAACATACACTCATTCATTTACAACCTCCAAAACATGGAAAAACACATATTTTGAATAAAAGTCATTATTCTCGCCCATGGGCCAAACTGTTTTTCGCCCATGGGCGAGATTTTTAATATCGCTCTAAGTTAGTCGAATTAAGTCAATATGAGTTGAATTTTGTTTCATGATACTTATAAACATACATTCATTCATTTGCAACTTCCAAAACATGGAAAAACATATATTTTGAGTAAAAGTCAATATTCTCGCCCATGGGCCAAACTGTTTTTCGACCATGGGCGAGATTTTTTAATATCGCTCTAAATTAGTCGAATTAAGTCAAAATGAGTTGAAATTTGTGTCATGATGCTTACAAACATACACTCATTCATTTACAACCTCCAAAACATGGAAAAACATATATTTTGAGTAAAAGTCAATATTCTCGCCCATGGGCCAACCTATTTTTCGCCCATGGGCGAGATTTTTTAATATCGTTCTAAGTTAGTCGAATTAAGTCAATATGAGTTGAATTTTGTTTCATGGTACTTATAAACATACACTCATTCATTTACAACCTCCAAAACATGGAAAAACACATATTTTGAATAAAAGTCAATATTCTCGCCCATGGGCCAAAATGTTTTTCGCCCATGGGCGAGATTTTTTAATATCGCTCTAAATTAGTCGAATTAAGTCAAAATGAGTTGAAATTTGTTTCATGATGCTTACAAACATACACTCATTCATTTACAACCTCCAAAACATGAATTCTGATCGAAATTAAACATTCTCGCCCATGGGCCGGCCCATGGGCCACTGTTCGCCCATGGGCCTGCCCATGGGCGAGCGAGTTTAAATTTAAAGTTTTCGAAAGAATTTTTTTCATTTTTTCATCCTTGGCATATATTCATAACAACTGCATGTTTAATTAGGTCAAATCCCTTGTCAGAAAGTGCCCACAGTACGGAGAGTTTCTGGACTTTTGTGAGTCCAGAATTAAATTGTGACGTGTTCTATGGTATTTTGCTGTGAAAGTAAAAATAAAAGCAATACTGCACAAAAATTCAATTCCTTGCTTCCTACTTACACAGTATGTGTTATTTTAATTTTAGACTCAGAAAATGAAAAAGCGAAGCTTGAGACGACCGAAGTTTTGGTTCAGTCCACAGTCAAAATGTGAAATGCGACTTTGGATCATGTACTTAATCCATCGAACACTGAATGTGAATTATAAAAGGTGAACATGTCTCATTTGTATTAACATCAAACAACATTTGGATAATGTCCTGATAAGCATACGTAAGGGGAAACTCGTCTGTCATACAACCCATCATCAGTGCTATTGAAGTATCTTGGCTGCCTCTCCGTGCACCCTCCTGGATTAAATGGGCTGCTCACATCATACACAATCACGTGCCACAAGCAATCGTGAGACTGATCATAATCTACTAAACCTTTCCGTCTCTGCTCTCGTCAACTCAATTTTCTTTTAGCGAAACGTCCTTACCATTTTGAATTGGAATAGTTTGGTTCACCATGAACATAAAATAACGAAAATATAGCGTCCGTATCCACAACAAATTCCCTCCAAGTGATCTGAGTTACATTGACCTAGTGTTACGCATAACGGAGTTATGCCCCCTTATCATTATGCGTGTATGACCTCTTTGTCGTCGTTTGACGTCATAGAAGAAAATCCATTTTTGACATTTATTGCGAGTCATTTTTAATGTTGAGCGTATAACGTTATGCACAAGCACATAAACCCAATTCATATACACTTATGTCGTTCAGATGTCAGGCTGTGTTTTCTTCGCTCACACTTTCCGTAAAGATGCCACATTAAACAAGAAGACAGTCATCAGTATCCCCCGCAATGGCAAAATACTCTTCATGATTATGTCTATGAGTTATGATTATGTCAAATATTTTAGGTGTGTACATAGAAAAGTGGAAGGAGAGTATTGAAAGGGTTTAAAAGTTCTGCTCCAAAAAGGAGCACTATCACCAATTTCAGTCTAAGTCAAACTTGTTGCCATGGAAACGCCAAAAATATTTTATTCAGAATTCCAAAACTACCAAAAGGCACAAGGACACTACCAGATCTATCTATGTGCCAAGTTTGGTGAAGAAATAGTGAACAGTTTTAGAGTTCAGCTCCGGAAAAGAGCACTACCACCAATTTCAGTCTAAGTCAAACTTGTTGCCATGGAAAGGCCAAAATATTTTATTCAGAATTCCAAAACTACCAGAAGGCACCAGTACACCACCAGATCTATCTATGTGCCAAGTTTGGTGAAGACATATTGAACGGTTTTAGAGTTCAGCTCCGGAAAAGAGCACTACCACCAAATTCAGTCTAAGTCAAACTTGTTGCCATGGAAACGCCAAAAATATTTAATTCAGAATTCCAAAACTACCAAAAGGCACCAGTATACCACCAGATCCATGTATGTGCCAAGTTTGGTGAAGAAATATTGAATGGTTTTAGAGTTCTGCTCCGGAAAAGACAAATGTGCACGGACGGACAGAGTCCATTTTAATACCCCCCGCAAAATTCGTAGCACAGTGCTTTTATCGGTGCGCGATAAAAAGCGGATAAATTTACTGTTTTTAACGCACATTTAGCAGTGTCTATTTCTCAAACCGCCGAGGTAGTTGCACTTATATTTATACCAACGGATAGGAAATTTAATATTCTACAGTTCTGTGTAATTTTATAGCCGTACGTAGATCCAGGAACACGCGAGTGCAATTCTCGCACAACGTTCACTTTTCAAACCGTATGAAAACGTGCGCCTGAAAAAAACCCCTCTGCACCAAGGGGGTAAGGATGACATGCATCACTTAAACCCAGATAAAGGGGTCCAAGATCAGTGGCAAGATTATCGCATTTAGCGTTAACCGCTAAATTGTGTTATTGTTGTCGTCGCCATACCACGTGCCTTTGTTTATAAACATGACCTTGGCGCGCGCAGCTGCAAACATTATATCAACACATGACGTCATCAGTTGCTACGTCATCACACTACGGTGAGTTACCTCACTTCTCGCGTCACCACCGAACTCGCCTGTCGCGCACAGCTATTGTCACCGCTAAACAACCTAACGTCACTGCCAAACCGAAATGGGACCCCCCAAAAGAAGAGCAGCGTTACAGCACAAGATAGTCCCACAACCTGCAGCTGGAAAGAAACGCAGGACAGCAGTGGAGTCAGCACAGAAAGCCCGCCGGTGGACGTTCAAAGACATACTACAAAACTAATGTCTTGCGTAGTCTCATTTTTTAACATTCATTCATTAATGTTAGGGCTAAGTAAATATGTGGTGTTTGGTACAACCTAGAACAGATCCACACCACCAGGCATACAACCAAAGACAGATTGTCCTCTAGGGTTAGATAAATGGATGGTCACGTGGCTTTATATAGTAAGCGAGGGGGGCACATTTGTTTTTCTTAAGGGGGGGGGGGGGGAGTTGAAGAGCAATAGGGTCTCATTAGCTTATTCTAAAACATACGTCAAACAGCGTAGGGATGACACGTTGTTTTATGGGCGCCGCCATCTTTGTTTTCGAATCTCTCGCATGGTCACTGCAGCGGGCGCATTTCGATTGTGACGTCATTGTAATAAAGGTTGAGTTGAGTTGGGTTTTACGTCACATCGGCATTATTCCAGCCATATAGTGACGAGAACAAGTTTGCATTAACCCATTCAACACCGCAGGCCGCTTAAGCGGCCACAACGTTATGAGTCCCCAGACACCGGAGGCCGATTAAGCGGCCAGGCAGTAGTCACGTCAAAATGAGACATAATTTTAGGAACCTACCTGACTTATGATTCATATATTAAATCTATCACATTTCACAATGTCTGAAAACACTTATTAAATTTCAATTTATCATATATTATCAGCAGAATTAAAATTATAAACTATTTTTCGCAATGTTATTGAAAACAACTTATTTAAGTTGTAGTTGTATTATTTGAATAATATTATAAAAATAAACTTCATGTTTATCAACAGTAGGATTAGATCTTTTAAATGGTGTATGGGATGTAGTAGCAATAACGTTTTACAAGCTTATAATTTCCTTCATAAACATAGGCTTCATCTATGACCTCAGAGTCTCTGGGAACTCGGTGTCATGGCAGGAAATGCCTCTGGTTGACTGGTGTTGAAAGAGTTAATAAACATTGTAAGTACATACTCGGAATGAGTTTTATTTCAAAAGTATATATTCATTACATTGTCATTTAAGGGAAGATCGGAAGTGGCGCCACCGCTTCCAGCCTCGGACTTGCCATCGTGTAGTGCCAAGACGTTGCAAATGTTGCTCCAAGTTTCCCCTCGTTCTGGCCATGTAGCTGTTGCCAATTACCCAGGCCAAATATTGCGCTTGAGCGTTCCGAGGAGGATCCAATGTCGGTCCTTGAATGTCCACCGGCGGGCTTCTGTGCCGACTCAACTGCTGTCCCGTGTTGTCCTGCGTTTCTTTCCAGCTGGAGGTTGTGGGACTATCCTGTGCTGTAACGCTGCTCTTCTTTTGGGGGGTCCCATTTCGGTTTGGCGGTGAGGTTAGGTTGTTTAGCGGTGACAATAGCTGTGCGCGACAGGCGAGTTCGGTGGTGACGCGAGAAGTGAGGTAACTCACCGTGGTGTGATGACGTCATTTGTTGACGTAATGTTTGCAGCTGCGCGCGCGCCAAGGTCATGTTTATAAACAAAGGCACGTGGTATGGCGACGCCAACAATAACACAATTTAGCGGTTAACGCTAAATGCGATAATCTTGTCACTGATCTTGGACCCCTTTATCTGGGTTTTAGTGATGCATGTCATCCTTAACCCCCTTAATGCAGAGGTTTTTTTCAGGCGCACGTTTTCATACGGTTTGAAAAGTGAACGTTGTGCGAGAATTGCACTCGCGTGTTCCTGGATCTACGTACGGCTATAAAATTACACAGAAATGTAGAATATTAAATTTCCTATCCGTTGGTATAAATATAAGTGCAACTACCTCGGCGGTTTGAGAAATAGACACTGCTAAATGTTGTCCAAAGTTTTTTATGCGTTAAAAAACAGTAAATTTATCCGCTTTTTATCGCGCACCGATAAAAGCACTTTGCTACGAGCTTTTTAATGTGGCATCTTTACGGAAAGTGTGAGCGAAGAAAATACAGCCTGATATCTGAACGACATAAGTGTATATGAATTGGGTTTATGTGCTTGTGCATAACGTTATACGCTCAACATTAAAAATGACTCGCAATAAATGTCAAAATGGATTTTCTTCTACGACGTCAAACGACGACAAAGCGGTCATACACGCATAATGATAAGGGGACATAACTCCGTTATGCGTAACACTAGGTCAATGTAACTCCGATCACTTGGAGGGAATTTCTTGTGGATACGGACGCTATATTTTCGTTATTTTATGTTCGTGGTGAACCAAACTATTCCAATTCAAAGTTCCCCAATGTGAGCGGATGCAGTTTGGTAGTTTCACAATTTACAAGAAAAATGACAAAGTATTACATGTGAAAGCACGTAATAGCGATTTGGATGGCCCTATCCGATATATAAGTTAGTTCTTAGATTCCCATATTCTCTATAAAACGACACAAAATTATGCAATGAACAAGACAATTCCTTTAAATATGTGTGCATATACATGTCATACCATATATAAATCATTTTCATTAATATTATCAGTTTTACACATAAGGTTGAATTAAATCACCGTTCATTAACCTGTTCATATGAAATTGCAATATTAGTCCAAATAAATTGAATATTGTACATCATAGGAACTAAAGAAGTTGAAGTTATGACTACGTTTGATCTTCTAACACTTGTGTGAAACATTTCAGAAAATGCTACGCAGTGTAAAATCAGAATTTGTCTTTGTTTACATTTCAGACAAGCGCAGTCTTTCAAGCACAGCGTTCGTTTTCACACCCAATATGTTTCGTCTCATTTTATCTAGACAGCTGGTATTGGTGACACAGACCAGTTGCAATTTGATTCTAAACTGTATTGGGAATTCACTGATGCATTTTTCGAAGCTGAATATGAAATATACGTGATGTAATAGGCGTCTCAATATCTGCCTTCGCGAAACGTGATTCTGTAAACACTATCCAATGGTGGAAAGCGCTCTACGGCGTTCGTGTAAGTGCATTTTCGAAAACATCCCAACCGATTCTAGATTCATCGGCAACGTTTCAGAATTATAATTAGCATTTTCATGTAAAAATGATATCCGTGATCATGAATATATTTTTGAAATTTAATACTCCCAGTCATTATCCGATTTTCACATTTCAAAACATACAGCAAATAACGTTGTGAATCGCGATTTCGTACTGTGTCAAAAATGGCGACATTTTCGATGAAGCCCATTTTGAAAGGTGATTTTCAGCTCTTAAGCTTTGTCTAAATAGTGGATGGTATCAAGAAACAGGAAATTTTCCGCAGAATTCGAAACTGAAGTGTATTTGTGTGCGTGGGATATTTTGATTTCTATTGGACTTGAAATTGAGGGTTGAAGGGGAAGGACATATATCAGTCCCCCCTGGATTCCACGGCAAAAAAAAATGAAATTCTGCTGCGAATTTAAGTAAATTCTGCATTTGAATTTTACAAATTCTGCACAAAATTCTGCAATGATATAACTGCTAAAACTTTGTTACTTGACATCAAATTGAACACAAATAAAAGGCTTGTAACATTTACCATGTTTTTATTCTTTAACTTGACATGTTACGTTAAGATTAAGTCAATTCAGGCAGCTATGGGAGTTCTGGGAGAGCAGGAAGTGGAGGTTCAACCTCGGGACGGTCTGGATCTTCCGGAAGAATATTTGGAATATCTGCCATTGTCTCTTGAATGAACTTGTCATACTGGAGTCTCTGATTGTAGTAAAGAAATACCAATGCTTTGATTGAGTCTGTTTTCAGGGATCTTCGGCGTCCTGTCAATACAAGATTATAGAGGGAAAAGCTTCGCTCTGCATCAGCTGAATTAGTAACAGCATTCATGTATCGCCTAGCAAGTTTTGCTAAGCGTGGAACTCTGTCCTGTACAGAAAAACAGAAATTGGTCACATCTATTTTGGCATCACCAGCTGCTGCCACTGCTTCTGGTGCAAGTACAGACACATACAAATTAAATTCCTCAATGGGTACATCTGTAAGACCTGGAATGGCACTATATTTACACTGTAGTTTGTCTAGAATGATGACTCTACTGGGATTAAATAGTCTGACTGCTTTAAGAAATTGTAAACCAGGCTGACCATCACTTAAGTATTTCCCTAGTTTTTCTTTGGCATATCAAAAGCAGTCTTAAATGTATTCAAACACTCCACTTTCACATTAGGGCCATATCATCAAACTGAGACAAAATGTGTTGTGTGCTGTCTAGTGTGAGGTCAGAATGTGACACAAAATAAATCATTAGTTCCTCCAAGATGTCAAACGTAGACAATGTACATGGCACACGAGACTGAAAGAAATCATTAAGATGCATGATACTTGTGCACTTCTTCGAAATAAAGTCAAGGTGACACTTTATGAGATGACTCTGATCTGGATCAGTTAGCCATTCATACAAATCCTTCACTGAATCTAGAGCACTGTTTCCACAAATATCCTTTTCGGCCACAATAAACTCACGATAATACTTTAAGTATTTTTGATGATACACAACACAGTCAAACCACGAGTTCCATCTGGTACTGCATGGGTCAGGGGGCATAGTCACTTTACAGTTATCATTGGACTGCATCCTGTCAGTCAGAAAAGAACGATAACGCGCTTTTCTGCTTCCTGCGTGAAAGAACATGTTGCTGAACCTTTTCACAAACTTGTTCACAAGCTTAAATGGTTTCCTGAATGCCTGACCAATAAGACTCATGATGTGCGCCAGGCAGGTGATGTGAATGGAATTACTACACAGTCCACTTAACACACTATTATAAGCTTTTTTCATGTACTGAGCATTATCTGTGTCAAACACCAAAACGTCATCAAAGTTGATTCCATAATCATGCAATACACTAACAACACTCTGGGACACAGTGGCATGGTTTGTTCTGTCAAGGAAAACAGTTGCTGCTAGATAAGCCAACACCTTTCCATCATGTAACTCGTCAAGCGGTGCCAAAGTATATTCAAAACATATCTTCCTTCTTCATTGCCAAGTTCATCAAATATTACAGCCACTGGTCTTTCTTTCTTTCAGTTTTTCTTTTAACTGTGCGTTTTCACCAATGTACACGTCAGTAAGATAGGTATCCTGAAGTCTGTTTCCACCTGGAATGCCTCCACCATTTAGAACTCGTTTATTCAAAACTCACGAACCGCTGGGTGGTCAGTTTTAGACAACGGGATATTGCAGGCAGTACACACTTTCACCCATGCATGACATATTTCAATACGTTCCTTTTCAGCAATAGTTTTGGAATGGAGAGACGTGTCAATCGTTTTCTGTTTCTTTGACTTACTTCCATCTGTACCTTCAGCTTTCTTTGCGAGATGTCGATTTAAGTAGGTGATCTTTGACAGTACTTTTCCGTGTGTGATCGATGACGACATTACATACTTTGCAAAATAGCTTTCCACCATCTTCATAAAGATCGCTCGACATCTGACTTCGCTCGTTAGCAGACACATTTCCAAGTTTAGATCCCGTTTGACTAGGAGGACCTCGCTTGTTTAAACATTTATCCATGACGGTGACCACACTTATCGACCGGCAACTTAGCAGACAAGCGCATCCGGTATTAACTGGAACGGTGCATGTACAACTAGGACTGGCACGAGGAATATGATTGTTAATATAACGCTTCTTGCCAATTAATGTTTTGCAATAATACCAATTGTTCGTACTCTTAATTTCAGGCATATAATTCAGTACTGTGCCATAGTTCAGATCAAAACTATTAGACTTCACATGACTAACATAAACGATTATGACGTACACTATGTACGTTTAAAAATGCCTACCCAACTTTTAGTAACACCTGGTTTAGATGGCTGAATGGGGTTCGCTGAATGACATGTTCGAAGTTTGGATGATTTGTAAACAAGTCGACTGATATTCAAAATTCTGCATGAAATTTTATGAATTCTGCGGCGAGGAATTGCGTGTTCTGCATGAAAATTGCTTTTCCGCGGCTTAGATGACATTCCGCAAAATATTCCGCGACCGCGGAATCCAGTGGGGACTGATATATGTCCCTGTGGCATCCAGAGGGTTAAATCGGGATCGTATGATGAGAATTTTAAGTTTTCAAAGGGAGCAACA